CCTTTGCTAATTTCCTCCTGATGTCTGGGACACAATGTGTAACGAACGCTATAGTGATCAGACGAGCATTTTCTGGGGCATCTGGATTTTTATCTGTGTGTTTGGCTTACGTTTGGATAATTTGTTCAAGGAACTCAGATGCATCCTCATTAGCTCTTTGTTCAAACTGCAGAATTTTATTAAAATTCTTTTGTTTGGAAATCCCCTGCTGCAGCCCTACCAATAAACATTTTTTATAGAGCTCCAACATATCCATGTCCCCTTCATTGGGGTCCCAGTTGGGATCTACCATCAGGATAGCCACATCTGGTTCTGGGGATTCTACATCCTGTTGGTGGAGGCAATCAGCCAACTCCCTGGCTTTCTTGAAAACCACCCTTTGTCCATCCGAGGTCAATAAAGTCTGCAACATTAACTGGATATCTGCCCAATTAGGATGGTAAGAAAGATAGAAGCAAACAAGTTTGCCATCTTCTTAGGATCCTGCCTATAAGAAGGAACAGAGCTCCTCCAATTTAGGAGGTCTGCTGTGCTAAAAGGATTGTGACCAAAAGTACCCAGCAGGCTGTCCTTGTGCAGTTAAACCACCCACTGTCATACGTCAAAGAGGGAAATGCCCTGCTTCAGGGAGATTGTTATTTCCAAAAAAGGGTGCCCTGTCTAGTATGGGAAGGAGAAGGCATGATAGTTTCTACTCCAGAGGGCAGTGGAGACTGAAGCCTTACAAGTTTCTACAGGAGGGACACTGCTATGCAGGGAACAATTCTTTCTGAAGGGTTTAAGGTGTTAAGTAATAATCCTCCTCCCCTAACTGCCCTCCTGCAGTCCTCAGAGAAAGGCTTACCCCTTCTCTGTGCCATAATAAGATCCTGGGCCATATCTAATTTATGGAAGGCATTTTGTATCTGGGCTTGCATGGCTTGATAAATAGTCAAGGGCAACCCCACTCTTATTTTCAAACTGTTTATAAGTGAATTAAGGGCCTGTATTTGCTGCTGCATGTTTTCAGTAAGAGCCCGAATTTGTTACAAGTTTGCTGTGGAAGGAGCAGAGCTCCCACCACTTCATCTCAGAGTCAAAAATACAAAAAAATGATACAAAGTATCAAGAAGATGCCCAGAAGCACTGACTGCAAAACAGGAATGGCTTGGAAGCCACTCATAAAGAACAAAAGCAACAGCATTTGCCATTAACCAGATTACTGACATGTATAGAACTGGTGGTAATATTCAATGGGAAAAGGGTATTGATACTTAAGACCAGAATAAAACTGAAAGAACCTAAACTAGGGATAAAAATGTCAAAGCCATGATGGTAAACATTAACCAGAGCAGAACACAAAGAGAAAAAAAATTTCTCATGACCTAAAATAAAGACACAATGTGTGCTGCAGACCTAAGGCACTTACCTTAGAATGCCCAACGGCAAGGTACCTGGGCTGGTGAACCATGGGTGTAAATTAGTTATGTTAGAGTGCCCAACGCAAGGTACTTGGGCTGGTCAACCATAGGTGTAAATTAGTTGGGCGCCATAACCGTTACATGACAACGCAGTGTGTACTGGGCTGCCTGTCTGTGGGTCCTCACCCAGGTGCTTAACATTCAATTATACTGCAGGAACACACAAAAGGTAGATAATGGGTTTATTTACAAAAAGGGGAAAGGAAAAGGAACAACCCAGGGAAAGAGAGAGATACAAGGTAACTAGAATACCTTACCAGCCTGGCTGACTTGCAATTCTAGTAACCAACTGATAGACTCCAGTCACCCCCAGCCTAAGAGAGCCACTATGCCGCCCCCACCCCAAGAGCCATTGAAAAATCATTCCCTTTTTATCCCCCAAAGCCCCAGAATGTCTTATTAGCTCCACCCTTGGGTCCTCACAGTTCTCTCCTTAGTACTGCTGGGAGCTGTAGTTTCCAAAAACTGGGGTAAGGGTTTGGAGTCCACAAAACTCTGCAGAGTTCCTTTAGGACGTCCTTCCCCTTACCACCACCACTTCAGCATGAGTTTGATCCCTGGTCATGGAGGTGATTCACATGGCTCAACAGACCTCTTCTGTCTCACTGACTGACTGTTCCCTTCAGCAGTGTGTTTTTATGAACCTGCCTGTTCTGTTTCCCACTCTGCCTCTGGTGAATCTTCTCACCCCCCACTCCTCTGGCCTGTACCCCAGTTCTTGTATGCATAAATAAATCTTTTTTTTTTAAAAAGCACATTTAAAAAATTATTACTTTAATATGACTAATACTTTACTAAAAAGGACACAAAGGTGATACTATACTAAAGTTGGAGAATTATCCCTATTCCAGCTACATACAAGTACTTAAGTACTCAATATTAAGAAATCTGTGTATTCCAAATGTTGTTGAATCCATCATTCTCATCCAAATTAAAACAATCTGAGTAAAAATCAGTGTCTGAATCTGAAGGAAATGCATACAGACTAAATTATTCTGCTAAAATTAGCTCTGTGATCACAGAAAACTCAGGTGAATAATCATCCATAGTCACATCAGCAAAAGACTAACCTATATGTTGATATATTTCTTTTGGCATATATCTTCCAATCTCATGTTTGTATACACATATTTTTTAAGCTGGTATATAACTCAATTTTGTATCTACTTTTTTGACTTGTTTTGTAACATCCACTTCCCCTATCATTATATATTCTTCTAAAACTTGATAGTCAATCTAGATATGCTCTCTTCCACCGGTGATGGTTTGTTTTTTAAATAATCAGACTAGGTGAATAACTTAATTCATGTGTATATTTCCCTAAATTTCAGATATTTTTTTCTCAAATTAACTTCATCTGGGCAGGGAAAAATGAGCTTCAATACCATTTGTAGTTCACATAATTTCTCAATAGTGTATGCAATGGGCTAGGATGTCTGATCTAGCTGTCAAAATCTAACATTCATTGGGTAGCTAGCTATCAATAGATTATCTAGATTGAGATTATTTACATGGTGCCTAATACTGTGCCAAGGGAAGACAGACATTTAAAAGATAACTGAGAAGTCCTAGTTATAGGAAAGTCTTGGTCCACAGCTCTGATTATTTCCTTATACAAGTCGTGTAAGAGTACTAGCTAGTGGATTAAAGAATGGGAATATTTTTAAGGCTTTTGAAAGGATTATCACATCTCCCTCCAGAAAGAATACATGAACTCTAATCCCATGATGTATGAGAATGCCCCACCTCTCCACAGTTCCTGACTTATAATACAGTCATTACATTATAGAGCTTAGTAAAGAAATAAAGAACAAGGCGTATTTTTTTATAACCATAACAACCCAAGCTTAAGGCAACTAATATTTGTGTCTGTGTATACCATATAAGGGGTAAAATAAAATACAAGTACTAGGTTAAAAAGTGATTTAGAGGTTATCTAGCTAACCATCCTAGCTGAGTGAACTGAGGCCCCTCTAAAATGTGCTGTTTCTTTGTTTTTTTTTAAGATTTATTTATTTATGCATACTGGGGTACAGGCCAGAGGGTTGGGAGAGGGGGAGAGAATTCACCAGAGAGAACAAGGAACAGAACAGGCAGGTTCACAAAAACACACTGCAGAGAGTAGTAGTTGTTGAGACAGAAGAGGTCTGTTGCACATAAAACCTAAGTTCCCCAATTATCAGATGTTAATAGTATCTCCAAAGTAGGTCCAAGAATTTAGCATTCTCATTAATCAAATGGGAGTTTAATCATTGGTTCTCTAATTCTCTTATAAAATTCTATCAGGCCTCTCTGGTGGCATAAGTGGTTAAGTTGCAGCACTATGAAGCTATCAGCAGCCATTGCAGTATGCTGCAGTTATGAATTCGATCCTGGCCAAGGTGACCCATATGGCATGGCAGACCTCTCCTGTCTTACCTGCTGCTCCCCTCAGCAGTGTATTTCAATAGATTTGCCCGTTCTGTTCCCCCATTGTCTCTGTGTTGACTCTCATCCCGCCTTCCCCCCCATACACACCCCTCTGGCTTGTATCCTGGTTCCTATATGCATAAATAAATAAATCTTTAAAAAACATTAATAATAAAATAAAATTCTATGATTCTCATAAATTATACTTTAACAGGCTTACCAATAAAGGGAAAAGAACACTGAACCTGCTAAACTAGATTCAAACAATTTTTACAACACATACCCTTAAAAATGTTATTGGAAAGGTGAGTTTTGTAACCTGCTAAATTACAAATGTGAGTTTTGTAAACTGCTAAATTACAAATGTAAAGTGGTTTATTTACACATGTGTACAAATACTGTCAAAGCAATATGCATTTTTAGAGCATGAGTGTCTTAACCAAGAAATGTCTTAAACCACAGCTGACTCTCTTGAGCTGTAATTCAAGGGAAGGCAAGCAAATATTATATAGGATAACATATCCAAAGCTCTGTGATGAAAGTGACCATGTCTGAAGAAAAACTGTGGCAGAAGTAGGGCCAGGTAACCAATCTATCATGTATAGAATGAAAAGAACTTTATGTGGTGGTAGGCTAAGTCAGCTGGTGCAAAAAAGATGGTATTTTTTGGGAAAAAGTCTCAAAAAAGGTTATTTTTCATTGTGCAGGAGATAAATACAACCAGTTCATCAACAGTTCCATTCCCTCTGAGCCCGTTACTAGAAAGACTACTATATAAAAATAAAATTCTGCTTTTAAGAGAAAGTCTCTGAACTCAGAAAACTCAAGCCACTGTTCAAGTACTAGCAGCCTGGCAAAGGAAAAGAGAAAACCGTAAAACAAACGTTGAGACCTCCTCTTTTCCTTTACGATAAAAATATTCGGATTGTAATACATTTAAAGTAGCTGCCATATAAATTTATAATTACGGATTCTATTTTTTTGAGTTTTGAGAAAATAAGAACAAGGATCACCACATTTTTGTAAGCGGAGAGGATTATATTTATTCTACACGTTAAATTCTGAAAGTGTCTGGGTCTAAAATAATTCGGTGCTCTTTTTTTAATGTTAAGGAACAGGGTTATAGTTTACCTCTATTCACAGCAAACAGGTGTATTCGGCAGGATTCTACTTCCTAGGGTGGAGCAATCTTGTTTGTTTCACGCTGTGACCGACAAGAGGCCACTGCAAAGAACAAAGAATAGGGAATTACGCATTTCTTTACGTACACTCCAGTCTTGACCCTCAATTTTTTCAAACATCCCCCCCAAATCAAGCCAGCCAGGTTCTGGTGAGAATCAAAACCATGAGAATGGACATCTTTGTACTAAGTTCTACTTAGGGCGCCCTCCGTCGGCGCCAGGCAGCCTCAGATGAGGCCCAAGGGGTGGCTGCGCGCTTAAGTCAGGTTCCTGGCCGCCTGTTCTTCCCGCGAAGCCCGGTGTGCTCGGTAACCGCAGGTTTCGCGGAGCAGCCACGAGGCCTAGGCCCACCCGCGCGCCGCCTCCCCACAACCCGTACCAGTTTGCCGAGGTTTCGCCGCGCCGCTGGGACCGCCGTTCAGACTGAGCGTCCCTCCAGCACCCCACCCCGCAGGTCCCGACCCCGCCAGGGCGCGTCCCCACGATCGCAGTGGCCGCCTAGAGCCCACCCTCCTCCCTCCGAGAGGCGGCCGGCGGCCGTACTCATCTCCCACCTTCAGCGCCGCGGAAGGCCCTCCGCCGGGAACCGCGCGGCAGCCAGTTCGCCAACGGCTGGGACAGCACGCTACCGCGAGGGGCCGGGCCGCAAAATGGCCTCGAGGCGCCACTTGGGCCCCGCCCAGCCGCCCGCCGCCCGCCGCCCCAGCCGGGGCTCGCCTTTGTTCCGCCTCCCGGGTCTCGCTTTCCCGCGGGAGGGTGGAGGGAGGGGGCGGGGCTCCTTCCGGTGTCGACAGCTGCCCCGCCCGCGCCGCGGGGGGAGGGAGAGGGAGGCGGGGCGGAGGCGGCCCGCGCAGGTCCCCGCCCGACTGACGCGCGCCTGGGACAGCGCGTGCCCTGACGCGCAGGGCTCGCGGCTCGGGGAGGTGCGGAGCCCGCCGGCCGGCCAGTGCGGATCTGGAAGCTGCGCCGCCCTCTGTGGAGCCACCGGGAAGAATGCCGACGCGCAACGAGACGGTTGGGTTTGGATTGTTGTACTTTTTTTTTTGTTCGTTGCATTTTTAGGAACAAAAAAAAAAGCCCAACCCTTCACACCACTTCATCTGCATCTTTCAGCATCAGAGAGTCGGCCACAGCGATTTGGCGGACCGAGACCACTGCCTGTTCCCCCCCACACAGCACGACCCGGGGTGTGATCGGTGCTCGGGTGGGGAGTAAAGGCAGGGCTCTGGCCAGTGTTCGACCATTCATAATAGCGTCCCCCACAATTTCACACCTGTTTCTTTGCAGACTTTAGGCTGAACACTGGCAACTATTTAAGATTTTCTTTAAGAAAAAAAGGCACTGCTCTTTCCTTTCCAGAGGAGAAATAACTTAAAATCGGCTTTGAAGAATCCACCGCTGTTGAGTGACTGTTCTCACGTCCTGCTTCCTGTGCAGGAACCTTGTTTAATATCAGATACGTTAAGCATTTACTAATGAGCTTCCACGGATATAGACATAGTGATAATGACCTCTTCAAATCTTAACCAACCCCGGGGGAAGTAAGGCAAGTACAAAGTCACAGAATATACCCTAGGGTTGGAGAAGTCTATCTGTAAAAATAGATCACAGGAGACAGAAACGTAAATAAGACTACAGCCTAGCTACAGTCTTACTACTGTAGTGACATGAATTCCAAACGTCAGCTGTTCCTTTACTTATTTGAGGAACAGTCAATAGAAGGAAATTCCAGTGTGACAAAAATTTTGACAATCCCTGTGTTATCTCTAACAGAATCTAGTTAGATTGTGCATAATAGCCGGGGAAGTCTCTATTGGGGGATATGGGGTTAGAATTTAGGGGAAAGGTATTTAAAAACTGTCATTTGTGGTTCTCGAGGCGGGTGTGTAATGTTTAGCGCAAACTCCATAAAAGACCCTTCTCTTTCTCATCCGAGAAGTCAAGTAGCCCTGGGTGCCATCTTCCTGAAACTTCACAAATAGGGCAGTTCCCATATTTTATGTCATTTAATCCTGCTAAGAGCACTGTGGCATAGAAATTATGATCCCCATCCTAGGTAAAGTGATTTTTAAAAAATAATAGTTTATTTTTACATCATTTTGTGCATTCTCCCATCTTAGTTGTAATCCTCGTGAGCTTTCCATCACCAAATCACCCATGTGCCATTACCATAGTCCAGTGCATTTCCCTCCCCCCACTGTTTTTGATCCCATTCTCCACTCCACCACCACAAAATGTCTCCGGTATATAGCTGTTCACTATTATCACCTGGTCCGATATACTCCTGCTATGAGTGAAACCATCCGGTATTTTTCCTTTCCTTTCTGGTTTATTTCACTAAGCATGAACTTGGTAAAGTGATTTTTGTAATGTAAAAACCGAATGGCAGAAGTGAAATTCTAAAGTTCGATTCCATGTACAGGTTCTTTCTAGAGCCCCCTAACCTTTTGCTGATGAAAACTGCACCATATCTCCAATTAGGGTCTTTTGTTTGTTTGTTTTTTCATCTAATTTATAGAAACATCTAAAATACTCTCATTGATTTAAAAGTGAAAGTTGGGTTATTAACTCATAGATCACAAATTGTCATTTACATAATTATCATATTTATATAGTAAGATCTGATAGGTAGTTAATAGGAGGGCCCTGGAGTGTCTGATTTTTAAAATTATATCTTGGCTATTAATCCTGTGTGTTCATATATTTTATGTATTTTCTCCCATTCAATAGGTTGTCTTTTTAACTGTCTTGTATTTTATTTTGCTCAACAGAAGCTTTTAACTTGAAATAATCACAATTGTCTATTTTTTTTTTAATTATTTTGCCATAGGGGGCAAGTCACCTAAATTATCTTAATATAGATATCATGTAATGTGTTGCCAGTGAATTTCTTTTATGCATTTTATTTTTTTTTAATATTTTATTTATGTATGCATACAGAACTGGGGTACAAAGCCAGAGGAGCAGGGGCGGTGAGAAGATTCACCAGAGACACAGTGGGGAGCAGAACAGGCAGATTGACAAGGTACACTGCTGAGGGGAGCAGCAGGTGGGTCAGGAGAAGTCTTCTGTGCCATGTGGGTCACCTGTGGGGCGAGGTACGAACTCACACTGAAGCAGCTGCGGCTCACTTGCAGCCTGCGTCCTAACCTGCTGCACCACCAGGAGGGCCTATGCATTTTTTAGTGAAATTTTAACCTCTTACACCATTAGGGAGCACCCACCCCCAACATAATTTATGAAAAGAAACCCCCCTTCCCCCTATTTTGTGGTCATATTTGCCATATCATAGGTAGGTTTTGATATATATGTGGATTTATTTCTTAACTTCCTATTTTATTCCATTGAACTATGCATTTTTGTGTGGCAGTACTACATTGTTTTTAGTATGTTGCTTTGTAGTAAAGTTTGAAATCATGTAACATGATACCTCCATTTCCCTCCAAATCACAATAATTTTTAAACTTATTATGGATCCATATAAATTTCAATATTTTGTTCAGTTTCTTTGAAAAATATTGCTGGTTGGCCCTCCCTGTTGGCGCAACAGGTTAGGATGCAGCTCTGCAAGCTGGCCACAGCAGCTTCAGTGCAAGTTCGATCCCCGGTCCCAGAGGTAATCCACATGGCGTGGCAGACCTCTCCTCCTCTCCTGACTTGCCCACTGCTCCCCTCAGCAGTGCACTTTGTCAGTCTGCCTGTTTTTGTTTTTGTTTTGTTTTGTTTTTTTAATAAAGTCCCTTTTCTTTCTTTTGTTTAAAAAACATTTATTTATGCATATAGAACTGGGTACAGGCCAGAGGCATAGGGGTGGTGAGAGCCTTCACCACAGACAGAGTGGGGGGCAGAACAAGCAGATCAATCAGCAGTACACTGCTGAGGGGAGCAGTGGGCATGCAGTAAGGTCTGCTGCACTATGTGGATCACCTCCAGGGATGGAACTGAGAGGAACTCCAGGGGCTGTGGCCAGCTTGCAGTGCTGCTTCCTAACCCTTTGTGCCATCAGGAAGGGCCCCAGTCTGCCTGTTCTGTTCCCTGCTCTGTCTCTGGTGAATCCTCTCACCACCCCTGCATCTCTGACCTGTACCCCAGTTCTGTATGTATAAATAAATCTTTTCCTCCCAGACTTGTCTGGCCATTTCTGACCCTTTCCCATGGGTCCTGGCAAGAGGTGCTTTAGGCTCATGGTGGGCTTTCAGGCCTTGCTTTGGACCAATCCCTTTTGGGTTGACTTTTGCCTGCAAGGGGATGGGTAACTTCAGGTGTTTGATTTAGACATTATATTCTTTGTCTTCTGTATTGTATACTCACTGTATTAAAGTTCCATTTCATTAAAGTCTTTTGTTTTGTCTTGATACGGCGGATGGCAGAACCCACTTAGAGCAGGCAGGTTTGGGGCTTCAGTGCTGCCCCCCCCCCCATGTCCTGTAACAGTATCACAATAATGTGAAACTAAAATTCAAAGGAAGAAAGAGGAAAACCTCAAATAGATGGTAACTAAGAAATATGTTAATGAACAGCTGTTAGGTCAACAAGGAAGGCAAAGGAGCATAAAAAAAATATTGGAAACAAATGAAAATGAAGACAACAGTTAGTAGAACCTATGGGATGCAACAAACTAGAAAGCCACTTCAGCATGAGTTCGATCCCCGCCTGCCCCGAGGTGACCACATGGCGCAGCAGACTTCTCCTGACCCACCCGCTGCTCCCCTCAGCAGTGTACTTTGTCAGTCGGCCTGTTCTGCTCCCCACTCTGTCTCTGGTGAAGCCTCTCACTGCCCCTGCACTTATGGCCTATACCCCAGTTCTGTATGCATAAATAAATATATCTTTTAAAAAATATATCTAAGCTTATACCTGAAAGTTCTAGAAAAAGAAAAAAATGAAACCAAAAGTTGGCAAGAGTAAATAAATAAAAACTAGAGTGAAAATAAATGAAATACAAATCAAAAGGAAAGTCTAAAGATCAATGAAATGAAGAGCTGGTTCTTTGAAAAGGCAAAAAAAGTGTCAAACTGTTACAGGGCACCCCAATGTGTCTCAACTAATCAACTTTCTTGGTAAATTTTGTTTACTAAGAGCTCCAGTTCTCAAGGACTATATTGTCAGGTATCACCCGAACCATTTAATTACAGTATTTCCCAACTCATTCCACTGTTCCCATTCCTTTGTTCCTAACTTATGCAATAGTCTCTTTATCTTTCAGGGATTGTTAACTTTGTCCTGTTGTGAACTGACTGGAATATGTGGAGGCAATCCTTGCGTCTTCACTCTGTCACCACCTTGCCAGACTCCACACATTTCTGACTGTTTAACAGAACTTTACCAAGAAAGTTGACCAGTTTCAGTGTGAAGGAATACTCTCAATTTCATATTTTTCATATTATATTTGAAAATAGAAATGTTTCTATGTGTAATTCACCTGTTTCTGTAACTTAATTTAAAAACATTTGCAAAGGAAGCAACCAAGTCTACAAAAATAATTTTTTGACTCAAATTAATCCAATTTGCTAATGGAAAATAATACTGAAGAGTAAGTCTTGCATGCAAGCATAACTATTCCTGATCATCCATGATGAAACTGAAGATTTGTGTGTTACTCATAAAATGGGTGAATTCAAAAATCTTTGCTCTTTATTTGTTTAATTTAATCTTCTAAACCTGTTGCTCTC